TAATCCACCAGTGGCCCTGCCACTGAGGCCTACAGGCTACAGAGGTGAAGGTGTGGTGCCACTTGAGTCCCAGCAAGGTTACGGGAGATCAGGCTCAGGGTGAACGTCACCGACAGTGAGAAACACAGCATTTACATATTTCCAAGGCAGGGTTGCGATGAATCGATTCTCTAAGACCCAGCCTGCCTTGCTGAGGAGGCCATGGGAGTTCAGGTGCCTTTTCTAGAAACTAATCTTTAAGGGAAAATCCTTAAAGGTTATGGAGGAGGCGTTGTCAGGACTTGGAATGTAGAATGTCGCTGGGTCATGAGAACCGGGACAAAGAATGGTCCAGGGTATGAGTCTGATCCAAACAGGCTGAATGGTTTTGAGAAGTCTGTGGGAAAAACAGCTGACCATCGAGAGGGATGAATAAAGAGCTTAGGTCTCAGCAGGACTTTATGGCCAAGGATTTGTAACCTGAAACTCTTTGCAAACTTGACAGAAGAAGCAACAAATGAATAATTGGAGAAATTTATAAATCTATCAAGCCAGAACATTTCCAAAATAGAAGACCAAAAAGGGAAGAAATTGGTAAAAAAAAAAAAAAAAAAAATGTTCCCACCTGACCATGGCCGACCCCACAGAGTGCAGCACCTGCCAGGAGCTGGAAGACTGCAGTCCAGGGGCCTAGACAGTGGAGAGGGGCCATGCTGCCCCGAGAGACAAGCACCCCCCAGCCCTCTCCTCCCTCAGACAGGAAAAAGGTGCTTACGGTGGGCCAAATGCCACTCTGACATTCCTATACCTACTGTCTATACAAAAGCGTGGTCTTCACACAGCCCCTCCCTGTGTTTCATGGTCTCTATGGGGCCATCCTGTTCATTAGGCTCACCTTGTCCAGAGGGGGCCCTCCTGGTCCCCACATTACTCTGCCTCTTTGGACCTGGGGGGCATTTCCTAGCACAAGTGAGGCGCGATCCATCCTGGGATAGCTCCTAGTTTACAGGCTCTCCTGGTCATCAGAAACAGCGGGGCCATTTGTGTTCCCTGTAATCCCAGAGCCCCCTAAACGTACAAACTCAGCAGGAAGTAGGCCCAGCCAGAGGAGGAGAAGATCGGTGCAATACAGGGGTTTGTGTGGCACTGGCGTCATTCTAGCAGCCTTCACCCGGATCGGTTTCCCGCAGCCAGCTGGACTACTGGCTCCCCTGACCCTGCCCGGCTGGAAGCCACGTGTGAGCGGTGGGGGGGCACTCTCAGGTGGGGTCTGTGTTCAATGCTTAAGCCTCCTGTGCCCAAGCAGACCTCTGTAGTGCGAACCCCAGAGCTGCAGGAGTCTCTGAAACCAGGCCAGAAACCTGACCGGGGGGCGGGGGGAGGGGGCAGAGAGGAGGGCCAACAGGAGGATATCCGGATGAGGTCAACCAAAGATTTCTCAGGAGACAAGTCACATGTCTATTACCTATTATTTCCTTTTGTGACTTGCACTTTATTTAAGGGCATTTTCATTTGTTTCGTTGCTTATTTTTTCCCTTACTACTAAAAAGAAATCAATTTTGAACAGGAAGTGACAAGTAGAGGAATATACATATGTACCTTTATATTTTAAGTATGGAAAGAGTGCTCTATGGGTCCTCATATCTTACTTCCCTAAGTAGATAGGGCCTTACAGTCTTGCCTTAAAACTAAGTGTTACAGGGACACCTGGAGCAGGTGACTCTTGATCTTGGGGTTGTAAGTTCAAGTCCCATGTTGAGTGCAGAGGTTATTAAAAAAAAATCTTCTCTTTTTAAAAAAATTAATTTCTGGGGCACCTGGGTGGCTTAGTCGGCTAAGCGTCTGACTTCGGCTCAGGTCACGATCTCATGGTTTGTGGGTTCGAGCCCCGCGTTGGGCTCTGTGCTGACAGCTAGTTCCGAGCCTGGAGCCTGCTTCAGATTCTCTGTCTCCCCCTCTCTCTGACCCTCCCCTGCTCATGCTGTCTCCCTCTCTCAGGAAAAAAATAAAACCATTAAAAAGTTTAAAAAAATAATTTATTAAAAGCTTGTTTGTTTATTTTGAGAGAGAGAGAGAGAGAGAGGGAGAATGTACGTGAGCAGGGGAGGGGCAGAGAAAGGGGAGGAGAGAATCCTAAGGAGGCTCTGTGCTCTTAGCACAGAAGCAGATGTGGGGCTCGAACCCACGAACTGCGAGATCATGACCTGAGCTAAAATCAAGAGCTGTATGCGTAACCAACTGAGCCACCCAGGTGCTATCCCCCATAAAATCTAAAAAAAATCCTAAAAACCAAAAAAGTGAGTGTTGCAATGCAGGGCTTGAACTTACAAACTGTGAGATTGTGACCTGATCTGAAGTCGGTCGCTCAACCGACTGAGCCACCCAGGTGCCCAGGGACCAGTTCCTGATGCACTTACTCTAAGGCAGGTCTTACAAGGAGGCAAAGAGGAGATTTTACTGAAGCCCCAGGATATTGGGACCGAAGGAGTGGGGGCCAGAGAAGCTAGTGGAGGTGAAAGGTGAACCGGACTCCAGGCCCAATCTCTGCTCTTACATCCCTGCTTCTGAGCAGCTGGTTCTGCAGTTACATCAGCTGTATGACCACCGGTAGGTTTTAACGGAATACAGCGCGTCCCCGCCATGGCTGATGAGGCAAATGACCGGCTGCCAGCAGACTCACCCAGCACAGTGCAGACACGAGGTGCGTGTCCAAAAAATGTCAGCTGTTATTCCTTGCGGGTTCCACGTCATAACTTAAAGTATTAAAGAGTTAAGAGAAACAGTTTGGAAGTCACTGTTTTGGCTCATCTCCCTCATTTAAAAAAGTTGAAAAATAACTTTGTTAAAGCATGTAAATAGAAGAAGTATTTTATAAAATTGTGTAAATGCATTTGTATAAGAAAAATTCAAACAAAATACCAGAATGAACAACAACAACAAACCTCCATGTCCCTCCACCCACTGTCACTCCAACTTCCTTCTGCAGAGGCAGCCACGGCTGTCACTCCTAGACCTTCTTCCTACACGTTCCCAGACACAAGCATGCTTTTTGTGTTTGACGTTGAGAGGAATGACACCATATGTACTGGGCTGCAGCTTACATCTTCCACTTGACAACATACGTGAGGGGCTGCTTCTCTATGATGGCACATCTAGATCGAGCCCCCATTCTCCCGCTATTCCACAGAGCGGCTATATTATATCTTATGTAATCACTTTTGAATGATAAACATTATAGAAACCTCCACATTTTTTCCCCTTTTAAGGCTGCAGTTCACCTCTTTCTTGGTACATCTTCTGACACATGTGCAGATTTTTTACAGACCTCATGTCTAGATGTAAAGCTGCAGCCTCACAGGGCAAGTGCATTTAAATTTTCAATTACATAGTGACGACTTGCTCCCCAAAAAGGCTGCACTGATTTGCATACTGGCCACTGAAATCCTGTGTTGGTAGTCTTATAATATTTGTGCCGACCTGATGTAAGAAAATTAGTATCCTCTTCCATTTTTTTTCAAGTTTACTGGCCAACTATTTCTTCGATGAATTTCCTCCTAGGCTCTGTACTCATTTTTCTAATTGGTTACTTGCCTTTTTTCTTATTAATTTTGAAGAACTCTTTTATGCTGGCTATTAATCATTTGTTTTATAGCTTAAACTGTATTTTAATTCCTACTTTGTTGTTTATCCCTTAATTATGTTAATGGTCTCTTTCATTCTTTTTATATTGTGAAACCTTTTAGTACTTTTCCTTGTGGCTTCTGGATTTGATGTCTTGTTTATTTCCCCTAGCGCTGTCTTACTGAAGGGTAGTTCCTTTTTTCGTTTAACAGGGAAGGCTGCTCCCTGAATTCTAGCAGAGTCTGGACTGGATCACAAGTGTCCCTTGACTTGTCGGTCCAAGGGTTTTCCTACCGAGTCACATCACTTCTCTGTTGTTACCAGTTTCAAAGGAAGTTAAAAGTCATGACTCTTTCAACTTTGATTTCTTCCTTCCCTCCTCCTTTTTTCCTTCCCCTCACTCCTGCCTGCACAAGGTCTGTGTATTTTCTGAATAACTAGGGAACAGAAATGAATTAACCATGATTCCTGCATGCATGGAGCTCAAAGTCTGTGTGTGTGTATGTGCATGTGTGCAACAATGTGAATAGAAATTACATAAAACATAACAATTTGGTTTCTTCATGGGTAGGAAGTCTGAAGAAAGCATACTCAAGTGTTGGCGAGGAGGCTGGGTTTTCAGTGGTTTTTACACAGTGGTTACACAGACACTAAGTGATGCTAACTAACACCACCACGTCCCACCTTCCCAAGTGGCCTGTGTGCATACCTTTGTGTTTTTATCATTTAGTGGTTCTCTGACACTTGGATTTGTATACTTGGCTTTGAGGTTTACAGAGACACACTGACCTGGTTTGCTCACCAGAGGCATTGAGAAAACAAACTCTATGGGCGCCTGGGTGGCTCAGTCCGTTAAGCAACTGACTTTAGCTCAGGTCATGATCTCACGGTTCATGAGTTCAGGCCTTGCATCGGGCTCTGTGCCAGCTCAGAGCCTGGAGCCTGCTTCGGATTCTGTGTCTCCCTCTCTCTCTGCCCCTTCCCCGCTCTCTCTCTCTCTCTTTCAAAAATAAATAAACATTAAAAAAAGAAAAAGAAAAAGAACAAACTCTAAAGTAAAAACATACCCTAATTGTAATAAAACTCAACAGCTGATAGAGTAATACAGTGTTTGTGAGTGAGTAAGTGAGGCCTCTATGACTCACAAAAGTACTAGTCTGTAAAATGGGGCAAAACATTGTAAAACGGTGACAGAACATTCTAAAGATATGAAGTCCTGCACAATAGGAAACACCAAATCCACGGAGTACTCTGTGCCACACTCACATGAGTTTAGCGAACTATCTGGAATGGGGATCGAGCACTCGAGCCACCGGGTGCAACCACCGGAGGAGAGACTACGTGAAGCCCAAGCACACAGCCCCGAGGTCACGCCCCTGCCTCCCTCGGGAAGGTCTTACCAGAGCTCCATCCGTCAGGGTACACCCCGAGAAGCGTTTTGCAAGAAACCCCTCAAAGTTAGTTGTTCTCTGAATTGCAAAAAGAAGCAATTTCACTTCAATCTCCTTGGCTCTGGTACGCATAATCTTGGCGAGTTCTGTCCTTCAAGAGAAAGAGGTAAGACTGCTGTCAAAAGAATGGATCAATCGAGACAGGATAAAGTAAAGGGTTGTAGCTTATATTAAAAAACAGGAAGTCTGTGGTCGTTTCAAATCCCAAAGTCTGTTACCAACCAAGTTTAACGCTCGGGGGATAATTAGAAATACATACTCTAAAAAAGAATTTTTAAGGTGAAATTATCCACTAGTCAAAAAATAAATCAAGGTGGGGCGCCTGGGTGACTCAGTTGGTTAAGCGTCCGACTTTGGCTCAGGTCACGATCTCACAGTTTGTGGGTTCGAGCCCCGCGTCGGGCTCTGTGCTGACAGCCAGCTCAGAGCCTGGAGTGTGCTTCGGATTCTATGTCTCCCTCTCTCTCTGACCCTCCCCTGCTCACACGGTCTCTCTCCTTCTCAGAAATAAATAAAACATTAAAAATAAATAAATAAATCAAGGAGATCAATTTGTTTACACGGTTAGAACGATTTTTAGATCTTTCCATAATTCATTACTAATATCTACAAAGCACTTAGTGTTTTACAAAAATGCACGTATTTTTTGCAATGTCACAAGTTGTTAATTACTGGATTACAAAGCTCCCTCTTTCTGACAGCTCACTAATCATCCCTTCAACTGGAGGTTGGGAACCCTGGAGAGCCACGGGAGAGACCAGTACTGCTGTGTGAAAAGTGACACGTCCGTGTGGCGGTGGTCCCCACCCGCGAGGCTGCCGTGGCACTCAGGGCTGTCTTGGAAGGGGAGCCATACGGGGCAATGACCAGAGAGCAGTTAGTAAGTCCTGGGCTGTGATCATCTTCCCATACGCATAAATGGCAAAATCAGACCAAGGGCCACTGAGATTACTTGAAAATCATGTATCTATAGGACTGTAGCCAAAATTCCCACATTGGAGCCTGGCTGCAACAGCAGCAGCCCGGGCATTAGCTGCCACAACACATCTGTGGCTTGAGTGCCCTTCTGTGCTCCTGCAGGCTTCACTTTCGACAGAGGTGGTTTGCAAGTCACTGAACTGGAGGCTGACGAGGATCAGTGACCAACTTCTCCAGGAATTTGCTTTCTTCGGTAATCAGGACTTAGAAAGTGACAGCCACAACTGTCCTTGGATCAACACTGAAAGGTTATCTAAACCTATGGCAGCAAATGTGCTTCTGAAAACAAGAGCCACACAGAATGTACAACACCAGCAGGAGTGAACCCGGAGGTGAACTGGGGACTCGGGGTGATGGCCGTGTGTCGGTTCCAACAAGTGTACGTTTTGGTGGGGATGTGGGTAACGGGGGGAGAGGAGGTTATGTGTGTGCAGGGGCAGAAGCGTATGGGAAACCTCTAGATCTTCCTCTCAATTGTGCTGTGATCCTAAAATTGCTCTAAAAAATAAAATCTATTTGAAAAAAATGAAACCAACAGCCGAAATCCCTTAAGAACCACCCCCTTGTGTTTAAAGCATACAACTTGATTGTACTGTATGATGTAAAGAAAGGTGCCTACCACAAATTATTCTAAAGTGGTTGAGTTACGCTTAGACGTGAGACTTTTTTTTTAATTAGCCTGGAATTAATGTAATTGTGCACTGCGAGAAAGGCATGGATAACAAATAAAACCCAGGTAGCGGGTGGTGACACTGATGTGGTAGAGCTGCAAACAGAATAAAAAATCCTGACCACAGCTTCAGCTTTCTCATGGGCACACAGACACAGACTTCTTGGGTTTTAGTGTTTCAACATAAATGAGCTATCTGCCCCTGGGCTATACTCATAGAAACTGCAGACAGGATGAACGACAGGAAGCCGTTAGAATGCTTAGAACCATTCAGATGCTGAGACTATTACCTATGCAAAGATTATAAAAACACTGAATTAGGAGCAGGACATTTGTTTAATAAATATTTCCTGAGTGTCTACTATGTCGATGAGGTAGACACTAGCCCTGACCCGACAGAACTACCTACGCAATAAGTAAGAAAAGCAAAATGATGACTGATACACTGTATGCTGATATATGTGATGGAGACACAGGAGAAAATGTAGGGTGATGAATAACACAGGGAAGGCTGCTTGATGAGCCTTAAGCAGGTTAACTAGAAAGGGCAGGGTGTTCGAGGCAAGAGAAAGTGCTAGAGCAAAGACAGGAGCAGCTGTAGCTGCTGTGTTACACATAAATTACTGTAGCCTGGGTTACAGGCTACTAGCCCAGGGCTCTCACGTACTCTTCCCTTTTTTTCTAGAAGATTTTCCCCTTCTTCCACATACAAGCTCTCTCCTCTAGGTTTGGAACTCTGAAGTTGAAGACATTAGAATACAGCTGTAGCTGTAGTTTAGGGGTTGGTTTTGGGTGTATAAAATATTACTGTCAACAGGAAAAGGATCTTCTAAAGGGAGAGAGTCCAGCACAGGAAAAGTTCTCATTAAAATTGGTGACTTTGAAACAACAACAACAAAAGGTGGAAGTGGTCACCCCATCCATGAGGCAACACGGAACCCCTAGAGACCAGGGGACTGATTTCAACTGGCCAATTTCAACTGATTTCAATTAATGGTAAAACTGGTCGAGATGGAATCTACCTGGTGACGTGGCAAAATTCTACCGCAATCCTCTCGGTCATGTACCACTCACGTGGAAACATACGGCCATATTTCTCCTCATAGTCCACGAGCTGGCGTTTAATCCAGGCATAGCGTCTGTCGATTTTGTCCAGCCAGGCAACCTTATTAGGAATGGAGGGAACAAAAGCCACCCACTGCTTAGAAGGGGTGTTGACAGTTTAAGGAAACAAGCAGGAACACAGAACCAAGAAAAACAAAACCAGTCTCTTTATTTCTCACAGTTTTAAAGACTCTAGGCTACTTTTACACTTGATCTAGAGGTACTTAACTCGGTCTGTGATTAGACTTCAGGTGTCTGTAAATTTCCTGAAACTGCATGCAAAGTTTTATGGATGGGTACGTTTTTCTGAGGAGAGGATGTGTAGCTCCCATTAATTTCTCCCAAGGGTCAATGACCCCAAGATGGTTAAGAACTACTGAACTGAACAGTCAGCCCCTCACAGTACAACCACAAACATTTTAAGGCAGGATACTAATAACATATAAATCAGTAGACTTGAGAGCATTTAATTTTCAGTAAAATTCAAATGTAACATCTGATTTCACTTGGTTAATACTTACATCTTGGTTTTCTTGAAAAAGTACCAGGTATTCTGACAGATGCTGTTTAATAAACTTTTTGATGATTTCCTGTTTGATTCTAGGGTCCAAAATATTAGCAACCAGACATGCATCTCGTAGGACGTTGCTGGGTCCTCCCGGCCTCTGGTAAAAACAAACAACGCACACCAGTTCAAGGGCCAGAAACAACCTTGAAATCTCATGGCCTCTGACAGCTGCTACTTTTTGTTCCTTTCTTGAAGCTGTTATTACTTCCACTCCCCTGACCTGTCTTCTGCTGTGGATGGAAACTTGTTACTCAGTGAAAGAATTGTTAAGCTAGCCTGTAGCAGCCCAAATAAAAGCTACTCTGTGACTCAGCAAGGAGACATTTAGGAAACAGGGCCAGCAATGGTCACAGGAAATTCTACTTTCTGAATGCAAAACCTGAAATCTCCTTGCTGAAGAGCTTTAAAATTCTTTTTAATGTTTTTTGAGAGAGAGAGAGAGTGAGCACAAGTGGGGGTGGGGCAGAGAGACAGGGAGACACAGAATCTGAAACAGACTTCTGGCTCTGAGCTGTCAGCACAGAGCTCGATGCGGGGCTCGAACTCACAGACTGAGATCACGACCTGAGCCGAAATCGGATGCTTAACCGACGGAGCCACCTGGGCGCCCCACCTTGTTGAAGAGCTTTAAAAGTCAGAATGATACCAGTCTCACTCCACATGTGCCATTTTCCCCTGATTCCAACTTCAGATTCCTGTTCCCAAGGTGCTTTATTTGTGGCAAACAGTGAAGTGGCATTTAAAATCTAAAACCAGGCTCCAAACCGCCAAACTTGTTTTGCTGACAACCAACCACCCAGACAGGAAACCAAAGGTAAGTATTATGGTTTGGGGCACTTGATCTGCAAAGTAACAGAAGGGCTGTCAAGGGGCCATACTGATACATCATGCTGGCAAGGCCTTTGTTATCACTGAAGGCAATTTGATCTTGCTGAACTTTTCTTTATAGTAACTTATGGAATGAACATGGCTGGCCGAGTGAACTATGGCAACAAGAACACTTGAACCTACTCTTGGCTTGGCTAAATAGCTGTATAGCTTTGGCATGGTTACTGAAACTCATCTGCAAAATGAATGAAAAAAAAATGGACTTCAATTAGGTGGTAATTAAAGTTCTTCCAAATCTTCATGATTTTTTGTGGTAAACTCTGCCCAGTATATCTATCTCAATTGAAGTTCAAGAGTTTTGTAAGTGTTGGGGCGCCTGGGTGGCTCAGTCTGTTAAGCATCTGACTTGATTTTGGCTCAGGTCATGATCTCACGGTTCATAGGTTCCAGCCCCTCGTCGGGTTCTGTGCAGACAGTGCAGAGCCTGCTTGGGATTCTCTCTCCTCTGTCTCTGGCCCTCTCCCAGGTGTGTGCTCTCTCTCTCTCAAAATAAACATTTAAAAAAGAAAGAAACAGTTTCATAAGTGTTATGAAATTGCCTAAGAGCAAAACTGTTGAGATGCTAACTGGCTCTGTGCTGAGTGGCTGTTATGTCATCTGCTGAGAGCTCTGACTGCTTGCTTACCTCTTGCTTCCGGACGAAAGTGACCTGATACAGAAGTCACAGAAACTGAAGCCTATGGGATCATGGATTCAGATATTTTCACTTAAAAAGGACCTAGTATAATATTTAATATCTTGATTTCTAGGGGCACCTGGGTGGCTCAGTTGGTTAAGTGCCCAATTCTTGATTTTGGCTCATGTCAAGATCTCACAGTTTGGGAGTTGGATCCCCACATCGGGTTCTGTACTGACAGTGTGGAGCCTGCTTGGGATTCTCTCTCTGCCTCTTCCCCACCTGCATTCTCTCTCCCTCTCTCTACCTTGTCTCCCTGCCCCTCCCCCACTTGCAGTTTTCTATCTCTCAAAATAAATAAACTTAAATTAAAAAAAAAATCTCGAGTTCTATTTGTGAAATAGAAATAGCAACACAAGTCCTTTAAGGAAAGTCAATAGTCATTGAAAAGGAAAAAAAGAAAACTTAGAAAAGTTAAGTTACCCAGCCACAGAAAAAGGAAGCAAGCTGTTAAAGAAAACCATTTGAACTTCATCTGCCTAGTGGGGTCTGAGAAAAAAGACATAAAGTACGTCATGATTAGTTTCTTCTAAATAATAAAGTTGGTCTTCATTCATATCTTTCTGAAACTTCCTGAAACTGGGCTGGGTAGCAGAGCATATAGTAAAACAGACTTGGGATTAAGAAGAGTTTGGTGCTTATAATTTGTGGCCATCTTGCAATCCCTTTTTAAAGACAACGTCCATAACCTACTGTTACATCAAAAGAATAAAGAGAACAAAGTCCCGAGAGGTACATGTTCTACAAATAAAATATCTGATTACTAGAAGGCAGCCATAATATTTGCAGACACTCAGATCAACAGCAGGCTTCCTATAGGAAGTAATCTACAAAGCTGGGGCAGCTACCCCCACCTACTTCCTAAGTTTCTTTCATGGAGCACAAAGAAACATGATTAAGATATTTCCAGTTATTGAATTATAGAGCAGGTCCAGGAAATGTCCCTTGGCTCAGTAAATAAACGTATATCCCATCTCCATTCGCCAAGTGCAGTGAGGAATGCTGCTTGCCCATGTGTGCTTTGGTTCATTTGTGTTGAACAATTCCTGCTCCTGAAATAGCTCCAATGATAGAGAAAACGAGCTTCTCAAGATTCTTCTCTCCCTGACACATGCAAAGCATTAAGATTACATCTGCTACAGTTTGAAAGATAGAGCTAAGAGCAGTTACCCAAGCACAATGGCAGCCAACTGAGCCCGGCTTGTTATGGGAGAAGCGTAGCCATAGCTCCCTGAGAAATCCTGTGGCCTCTGCAGACACAACACAAACAGCCACGCCACTGGCGAGAGCTACAGGGATTAACCCCAAAGCACAGGATTCTGCTCATTAAAAGGGAGTCTCCTAACTGTGTCACTCGGAGAGTTACATAAGCCTTCGGACGCTCCCCCCAGCTATCTTTTCACCAAACTGAAACCAGCAAGTTGTGTAATGATCCTAAAAAACACTGCAGCTTGAAGATTTTTTTTTTTTTAACACAGCTATGAGAAAAAAGGAATTTGCTGGGCAGACATGATATTAGGTTTGACACACATTAAATTAAACCAAAACAAATCCTCACTTTTTGACGCTGGGAGAACACAGATGAAGAAGCAACACTGCTCTGGGGTCCTGAAAATCAGAGAGGGTCTCACCGCCCTGAACCTTTAGCAAACAGACTCATGGCTGCCAGCCAACACTTCTGGAATGGCAAAGGAAGAGTAACGGTAGCAAGTGTGAATCGGGCAGGCATGGTGATGATGTCTAAGGCTAGAGAGAGAATGCAAAATAATACCTTCGTGCCCTGGGAAGGAAATGCTTCTTCAAAATCAGCCAGGATTTGCTGTCCTAACTCAGTCTGGGCGGCCTTCACTCTGTAGGGAAAAGAGAACATGTCACTGCCTGGTGTGATTCTCCATAAGTAGTTACGCAAAGATCGTAAGTCAGAAGTGTCCAAGTCTTCAGAGATGGTCCGGGAAGTGGGGAGGTGGGGCTAAGTAAGAGAGGTCACATACTTGTTAGTGGCAGGTTTATGACCAGGCCCCAGTCATTGGACTTATTCTCATGGTGGATTTTCTAAAACCCGAAGTTCTTCAAGGCCACCTCCTACCTGGCGTGTGGTAGGATAGGTTAACCTTTACAAAGTGTCATGAGGGGGTGGTTATGCTATGGGAAAATGCTCTGTAATAATTAATGCCCAATCCAATAAAAATGCATGTTGGATTGCCGCTACAACTTCTCTCCTGCTCCTTGGAGTACAGAATGCAAGGGGCTCCAAACTGCCTCACAAATGTTGTTTTCAACCTGGAAACCAACATCAGGACCCTAAGTTGTAACAAGTAAACGAAAAGAGTATTTTCTAAAGGAAAAAGATCTGAAAGATAAACTGAGCTACTACTTGGAAGTGAAGGCAACTGGAGGAAGATGAAGTTCACTTAAGACTGACAACAAAAACGAGTTCAAAAGAGGGTGGGGTCAGGACTTAACCTGGTGGTTTACATGTACAGTGGGAGCTCAAGAAATACATGTCGGCTTCAATGAGAGGAGAAAGAAGCAGCTGTGAGGAGAGAGCAACTGTGCGTCAGCACCCCTGCAACGATCACGTCCCGGCCCAACCGCAGGAGAGGGATACCCCGCACCAGCCATTCCCCCGGAGCTGGATGGCTCGGGGTCTGAGGCAAATAGTTCACCTTTGCTAAATGCACCATAAAATAGTGTTCTTCCTTTTTTGGTCTTCACCCTGTTACTTTGGAATTAACTCTGTAAAGTTTCTAGAAATAGTGAACAGCTCAAAATCACAATTCCTTTGGCTATTCAGCTGTGGCTGGCAACCTACTGAGAGCTTTTTTTTTTTTAATGGGGGGACAGGCAGGACCCCAAACAATCTGGTTTTTCCTGTGGCACAGTTATATATATGCTTTCTTCCCAATATTTTCCAGGGTTTCCACTATCTTCAAAACTTTTAAAACCATCCTTGTAGATGGGTTTGCACCCTCTAGTTGCTCAGTGAGGGAGCTGAGGCTATTAGTACTGGGCTAGGCACCAAGTCACAATCCGGGCCCGCCATCTAGAGCTGCCCAATGGACAACGGGAAATGTGCCTTGAGTGTGAGCTGACTGGAGAGAAGAGAACCTGCTTCTGTACAATTGTACCTCGAAGCCTTGTGACTGCACATAGTGGGCCAGGCAGACGGCCTCCCCCGGTGCCAGGGCACAAGACAGAGCAAGCTTCCAGAGCCTCAGGCCCCTCTGCTCCTGCTTGCCTTCTGGCAGCAACAGAGAGCACCCGTTCCCTCCTAAGCCACCGGGACAATTCCTGGAGGGAAAGCTCCGCCCCAAGTCAGGGACATTCACATCACATTCTCAGGGCTCCTGAGCATCTCAGTGACACGAAACTCCCAGCTCTGCCTCTTTCAGCCCTCCCACCCCATCACCCCCAAACCCCACATGCTTGCTGGGGTGCCTGAAGAGACAACCGGAGCCTATGATAAGGCCTGATACTCCCAGAGTGCAGAGGAGAGGGAAAGAACCAGGGTGTGACTTGCAGACTCCCGGCCAACTTTTCCAATCCATTTTCAAAGTCATGTCTTAAGGTGGTGTAGACCTAGCTGTGGTACCCGTGAGCCATGTATAAACAAGTCATGTCCCCAACATGGGCCACAGCTAGGGAGGGTTGTGAAGTGAGATGGCGGGGAGGCGGGCCCACACCGGATGCCTTCCACTGCAGGCGGATTCTGCCCCGCACTCACCTTCCCAGCACTGGTGGGCTCAGCAGGCACCTTCACAGGTGGCTGCCAGCTGGAGGTGTAATTAAAGTCGGGGCACAAGAATACGCTTTGGAGCGTAAATGTTTCCGAGCATAGTTCCCAAAGCGTCCAGCAGTGACTCTGTTGGAAGAGCAACCACTTCCCTTCCTGACATTAACGATGTATCTGCAGTCCCAAACCACGACTCCAGGCATTTTCAGGGCGAGATGTGATACAGTCTTGACACTCGGTTGTCTAAACAGGATCCTAGAAAGAAGTCAACCCTAAGAGAATACATCTTGGTCCTAACTCCTTCTTTGTCTAATGATGAAAGGTAAGTTCCTATTGTAAAAAGAGAGACCGACAGAGACTCTGTTAGCAGAAAAGAGTGGAGCTAACGTGATTTTCATAAAAATGACTCGGAAATTCCTCTACAACTAACAGAGAATAGGGTGAGTGAAAGTGCCTCCTGGGATCCAAGTGAGCTCAGTCATCTTGTGTGGTGACAACACGGTGCCAACCACACAGGAAACAAAGGAGTCGCTGCGCTGCTCAGAACGCAAGGTCAACCAGTGAGCTCTAGCGCCCTCCACGCCATTTGACCAAGGGTTGTTCAAAGGCGACCTTTGCACATTGGGTGGTGGCAGAAGGATATGGCAACTTATAAAAGTTATTTAGGCATCTGTGGATAGAGTAACCTTGACGCTTCCATTACCTTGTGAACGGCTGTCCCGGAGAAAACACCCTAGGCACTTTCCAATAAGCTGACCTCCCAAAGTCTGTCCTGGACAGAACGGTTAATGCGGTTGGTCAGATGCTCTAGTTCCAAACAGACAGGCCCTTTAAAGAATCCCACTCCAGAGTCTTAGAGGGATTTGGTGGGACAATTTGAGATCATCAAGTACAGCCCTTGCGCTTTTGAAACTGATGTTCTTTCAGAGAGAACTTGTCAAGGTCACACAGTTAGTCAGACCTTTACATTCTCTAATTTCTTTCATTGCTACACCACGCGACACCCCCTCTCCCTAATCTGCCAAGGACCTCCGCCATGTAAGAAGTTTGCTAGATTCCTCTACAGTATTTTTCAGTTTGAGGGTTTTACAGGTTTTAGGAGAATGCAAGAATCTTCTACTCTTTCTCAGGAAATATAGACTGATTACCAGAAACCCAGAACAGTTGTTCTCATGGATATTCTTTTTTTTTTTTTTTATATTTTTTATTTATTTCTAGGAGAGAGAGAGAGAGACAGCGTAAGCAGGGGAGGGTCAGAGAGAGAGGGGGGGTCGCAACAGGCTCCAGGCTCTGAGCTGGCAGTCAGCACAGAGCCCGACGCGGGGCTCGAACCCACTAACCGCGAGATCATGACCCAAGCGAAAGTCGGACGCTTAACTGACTACGCCACCCAGGCGCCCCTCTCATGGATATTCTTAAGCCAGAAGGCTTGAAATATAAAGATGATATTTTAAAAAATCTTTCCTTCAATGCTACATTAACATTTAAGCATTTTCTAGAAGGGTAGCTGGAAGAAACAGCTATATTCAAATCAAGGTCCATGAACTTCATATTTCAAACATACAGGCAAAGGATTCAGAACACAACCTCTCACATGACTTCTGCGACTTACAGACAGCAAGCTATTAAACTGGAGAAGCTAAAGCAAGGCATAGGGTGTAACTCTGCTGCCTTTTCCCCTGCCCCCCCCCCCCAACAAACAGCTACTTCTATCACTTCCAGATGGTTCTACCATCACTTATGTAAACATAAGGGAGGAGAATTCACCAGAAAAGATGCTAAAAATAAGAAATCTGGACTTTCTGCAAACTTTTAGTACCTCTTGAAAAGCAATCGTCAAGCACTGAAAACAAGAGATTTCTCCTCCTGCGTTGTTTCTGGTGTTACTTAATAGCACGTATTCTGTATCACCTACACAAAAGCTTTGCAAACGGAAGTTGTGAAATGAACTAAAAGAAATGTAAATCCTCCTGTGTTTGCAGCAATTCTACATGATAATGAATGGTAGAAGCCCTGAAATGTACTGCTAGAATGTCAGATTTTCTCTTTTTGAAGAGAATGTCTTACAACAGTGACCACAAAGTTCCTTCAAATGTATAAAACCACCTCTTTGAAAAAGGTTAAAAAGCAGAGTTGTAAAAGAGAGCATCCTATTCTGGGTCTTCTTTGTCCCTACAAACAATTAGGAATAGAATTCAGTTCTGCCATATTTCTGCCATCAGTAATGCCCATCCAAGGGGCGCTTGGGTGGGCTTCTGACTCTTGATTTTGGCTCAGGTCACAATCCGATGGTTGTTGGATCAAGTCCTGTGTTGGGCTCCAGGCTGAGTGTGGAGCCTACGTGGGATTCCCTCTCTCTCTCTCTCTCTCTCTCTCTCTTTCTCCTCACTGCTCCTCTCCCCTGGCTGTACTCACTCTCTCTAAAAGAATTAAAGCAACAACAACAACAACAAACAATGCTTATCCAACACAACCAACTGGTAACCAATCCCTCAACACATCTCCTTGACCTCATGGCCACTGTCTTCGTAAGGCTCTTATCTTTTCTAGTCCAGAACATAGTCTCAACCTCCAGTTCCTTGTACCTATAATCAATCAGATTTTTACACAACATAAATGAGAATGTGTCCCTCCCTAATTAAGATTTTTCACCGTCCACAAAGTAAAGGAGTCTTTAGCATGGTATATAAAATCTGACCCTCCAAGCCTACGTAGACTTTCACACTCCAGGGCCTCCCAAAGTACCATGATGTTCTCTCCTCTCATATTGTTCCTCCTCTCTTCCTGTCTTGGTGGTAAGATCCTTCCTATCCTTTAAGATCAGATGAAAACTCAACTCTTCTGTCACCCCTGCCTTCAGCCCCCAAAGGCAAAGTCTTTCACTTCCTCTTCTCAGGTCCTGCTATTCATTGTACAGTATCTACCAGTTTTGTTATATCCATACTACACTAAAATTTTCTACTAGTGTCTCTCTTCTCCACACAACAATGGTGAACTCGTTGAGGGCAAAGCATATGTATTTCTTATGCTGTGCCTTCAGTACCCCCAGCATGGGGCCTAAGATATAGGAAGTCCATAGTATATATCCTTTAGGTAAATGAACGAAAGAATAAGTGAATGGGAAAAAAGATCACCTCTGGATTATCACAAGGGTAAGGGGAGGGCTGAGTGCCTTCCCTTCTCCTCCTCCATCCCTTGAGAGCAATTCTGCCTTCTCCATCCACGCTTCCTCCTTTCTGGCAGCTCATAAGGACCTGTTTGCTCCCTCGGCTACTTCATGCCCCCAGTGAGATATGGCGATTGGCCAGTTCTAAGTGTGAAGGAGTTAGTAAGGATGGAGGAAAGGGTGGTGACTTCCCTCGTATGCTGCCAAGCTCGGTTCTTACATTCCCTAACGGTTCTCTGGCTCTGCCACTCTACGACGGCACAATGAGTGCAATCGCCCCTTCTGCCCCAAATCCTTAGACAGAATAAGGAGATTTTAATAAAAATCCAGAACTCTGAGGACGGCCTGGCAGCACAGGATTGAAGAAGGAAACTGCTGCTGAAAACTGCTTTTCAAAAAATGAAAGACATGGGGGTAGCGGAGGCCAAGGGCAGGAAGTGAACGCAGCGGGATACCTTGGGCTCCTGCGGGAGGAGTAACCAAGCCAGCGTCCAGGTCTGCGTCCCTGCCTCGTGCGGCCAGGTCAGGAGTGGGGACGCATCTGAGAACGCCAGCAGTGGCCAGAGGGCCGCCAACACCCATGCAGGGCAGGGAGCCCCCAACCCGGAAGATCAGCCACTGGTCTATCCACCTGGCGGCGCCAGCCCCACCTCAGCATAGAAGAGCCACCTGTGGCAGACGCACAGCCGAGCAGCCCAGCCCATCTCCGTCACCGGTGGGTGGCAGTAAATGAGCGTCCCTGGTCAGAATGACAGAGAAGCTGACAGCCAAAAGTGCGCTTTCGGCTAGAAGTCATCCAATACCAGAGGAACGCTAATACTAAGAAAGAGAGTCCCTACGCTCAGCAAACCGAAGACCTTCTATCAGAGGACATAGAAACAGAACAGGCAACTCAGAGCTTTAAAATACATGGGCCCTGCATTCCCTGAGAAATTTAAGAGGATATTATGTCCATGAAAAAAGAATCCAGTAGAGATCCTACAGATTAAAGTCGGGTTGCTGAAACAGAAACCCAACTGCTGGGCCAAACGGGAGAATGGGCATGACTGAGGAATACATTAAAACGGTAAGGCTGAGTTGAGGAATTCAGCCTTTTTAAAAGGGTGAAAAAAGATGCAAAGTAGGAAAGAAAAAATAAGAAATATGGCAGCAGATCTAGAAGTTCCAAAATCCACGTAATATGAATTCTTTCCACAAAGAGAATAGAGAATAATGCATAGAAACTACTCAAAGGGGGCGCCTGGGTGGCTCAGTCGGTTAAGCTTCCGACTTCAGCTCAGGTCATGATCTTACAGTTTGTGGGTTCGAGCCCTGCGTTGGGCTCTGTGCTGACAGCTAGCTCAGAGCCTGGAGCCTGTTTCAGATTCTGTGTCTCCCTCTCTCTCTGACCCTCCCCTGCTCATACTGTCTCTCTCTCTCTCTCTCAAAAATAAATTAAAAACATTAAAAGAAAAAAACTACTCAAAGAAATAGAAAACAATTTCTCCCAACTTAAGGAACTCATGAATTTTTATTTATTTAAAATTTTTTTAAATTTTATTTTATTTTTAAATCTTACTTAAATCCAAGTTAGATAACATATAGTGTAATAATGATTTCCAGAGCAGATTTAGTGATTCATCACTTACCATATAACACCCGGTGCTCATCCGAACAAGTGTTCTCCTTAATGCTCACCACCCATTTAGTCCATCTCCCCACCCAACACCCCTCCAGCAACCCTCAGGTTGTTCTCTGCATTTAAGAGTCTCTTATGGTTTGCCTCCCTCTCTGTTTTATCTTATTTTTCCTTGCTTTCCCCTATGTTCATCTGATTTATTTCTTAAATTCCACATGAGTGCAATCATATAATGTCTTTCTCTGACTGACTTATTTCGCTTAGCATAATGCACTCTAGTTCCATCCGTGTTGTTGCAAATGGCACGATTTCATTCTTTTTGATCCCGAGTAATACTCCATTGTATAGATAGACCACATCCTTTATCCGTTTGTCAGTCAATGGACATTTAGGCTTCTTCCTGTAATGTAGTTATTATTGACAGTGCTGCTACAAACACTGGGGTGCATGTGCCCCTTTGAATCAGCATTTTTGTATCTTTTGGATAAATACCTAGTAGGGAAATTACTGGGTTGTAAGGTAGTTCTATTTTTGAAACTCAAGTCTTTATACTGAAGATACAGTAAGTACAGAGCAACATGAAGGATAAGAGACCTATATCCTAGTAAATATCCTGACAACCGCCCCCAACTTCAAATGCTTCCAGAGCAAAATAAAAATCAATAAAAACAGATTATCTTATAAAGGAGCAAGAATCCGATTGACCAGACTTTTTGATAGGCAATAAGAAACACCAGCCAGTAGATTTACCTAGTCTATCATGCAACAGCCAATGGGAAGAAGCAACCTGTGTCGTCCATCAACAGATGAATGGATGGACAAAATGTTTACTGTATATTTACAATGAAGCACTCAGCCTTTCAAAGGAATGAAATTCTGATACATTCTACAGCATGGATGAACCATGAAACACTGTACTAAGCAAAATAAGCCAGGCACAAAAGAACAAATATTGATTCCGTTTAAATGAGGTACCTAGAACAGGCAAATCACAGGAACAGAGAACAGAACAGAGGTTACCAGAGGTGGGGGAGAGGAGGTAACAGGAGTTATTATTTGATGGGTAAGAGTTTCTGTTTGGGGTAATAAAAAAGTTTCAGAAATAGAAGTGGTGATGGTTATATAATATTGTGAAAATACTTAATGCCATTGAGTTGTATACTTAAAAGTGATTAAAATGGTAAGTTTTATGTTATGTATCTATTAACACAATTTAAAAAAAAGTAGGAAACCAAAACAAAGCAATTACCATGAAAGAAATCGCAGTGAGAGTCAATGATCTGCCTTGAAAATAGGTAACACATCCACATGGTTTTACAGGCAAGATCTACCAGATCTGACAACGATTAATATCCAGAATATATAGAGAATTCTTACAAAACAATAAGAAAGAAATAACTCAGAATACAAGGAAGTGGTTTTCAGAGGAAATGCAAATGGTCAATAATTAAATGAAAACTACTCTGAGTAGTTACCAGAGAAATGGAAATGAAAGGACCTGGGCATTATTTTCCATCCATCAGTTAAGGAGAAAGGAAAGCTGACTGTATAAAGCATTGTTGAAGCTATGGGGGAATGGAGACTGCTACTGTGCAGACGGTACTATAAATAAATAAAGTCTCTTTGGAGGCCAAATGGGAAGCCGTTTCTAAAATTTTAAATGCACATGACCCATGACCTCAAATCTATTCTAGGGAAGTATATGTGCAAAAAAGTGGTAGATTTTAAAAATTAGAAGCAACAATCTAGTGATATGAAAATGGTTAAGTAGTCTGTGGTATATTATACTATGGAATTCCAGGTATCTATCAATTAAAAAGAAATGAGGCAGGTCTGCACATATCAATGTGGAAAAATCCCTAAAATACACTGAGAGGTTAAAACCAAAAGGTAAGTTTCAGAGTAAGCATATGGTTTGAAACCATTTATTTAACATAAAACAAGGGGCGCCTGGGTGGCTCAGACATTTTACCTCTCAGAAAGCTGCCGGATCTGCGGAATTCCCATGTACTTGTGGAAGTGCTCCAGGACGTTCATCACGCCTTGAAGAAGGTTAGCGACTTCTCCGTACTGTCTTCGCCTGGTCATGGCTCTGCAAGGAAATGAGAAGTTGAGAACGTTAGAAAAACCCTCAGGACACTAGGTACAGATGCAGGACTGTCTACTCTGAGCTCCAAAATAGACATCAACTCGATCTGGTGACCATTACTCTTGAGCACTGAATATGTATGGTCCTGTGCACTGCTGGGAGGGGAAAAAATAAGACCTAGTCAAAATCCTCAAGGTGACACTGTTTAGTAAGAAAGACAGAGAGCCAACTCTCTGATACCAAGTAGGATACTTGGGATCTAACTAATATCTAGTAAGATAAACTGACATCTAACTAATACTAAGTAGGATAAACTGAGTTCTACACAGAAGTACAAGTTATGCGCTATGGGGGGTACAAAGGAATGTGGGAATGATGGAGCCTCATTGGGTGGGGGAGGGGGAATCTAGGAAGACCTTGGATTTCGGTTGGGTATTATGGGATTAGCAGGCTTTTAACAGAGACGAGGGATAATAAGAATGTTACTATCTGAGGATTACAGCACAGGGGCAAACCAAACACATCTTCCCAGCCTGCAACAAAGGCCTTTTATATGCATTTAACTCAAATCTGTGGTGTTTAAGCCAATGTTAAGCAACCCTGTCTCAGATAGGTCTACTTTCACTACAACTAATGTTAATGAAGCATAAATAAAAGGAGACTAATAAAATCAAGAGTTACACAAGGAAGGACAAACTGTTACTTATAAATTTTTTATTAGGGTGGAGCTTTTAAATTAAATGAGTAATTTATGACTTCCCTTAGGCATTAAAAAAAAAAGAGGCTTTTAAAAAGACAGGACCAAGCTCAAGCCAACATGTCATGTTGCTACCACTGCCTGGTCTGAGAGTCTGGTGGGAAACACAGCATCTGGGGCAACAGACGAGGAAACTGCTCCTCTAGGCTCCCACTGGCTGGCTCGTCTCTCTGATCACTGCTTGCGGGAGGACGGGCCAGGGTTGGCTGGAGCTGGCGCAATGCCGAGACACCAGGAAGGAGTCTGACCCTCTCCTCCCCCTAGCTTTGGATGCTGCATCTAAATTTCTGTGAAGATGCTCTTGGTTTATACGTGAGCCTATACTGACATGGGGGCAGGGGGAATTCTCAGGCTGAGACAGACCACGGAAGTGAACTGGTCTGGCAGAACCTACTAGTAAAATGGGCCTTTGGATTGCTTCTTGTGGTAAATAGCCAGCTCTTTCTTTTAATAGGGTTTCTAACATCCTCACGCTTCATTCCCTAGAGCTCCTTTAAAAACCACACAGGATGCTACAGTCTTTGAAAAAGACTTTGAAAAAAGTGGGTTGGGGAATGTCTGGGCAGCTCAGTCAGTTGGGCGTCTGAGTGTTGATTTCAGCGCAGGTCATTATCTCACGGTTCATGAATTCAAGCTCAGTGTCGGGCTCTGTGCTGACAGTGTGGTGTCGGCTTGGGATTCTCTCTCTCTCTCTCTCTCTCTCCCCCCCCCCTCAGCCCCTCCCCAACTTAAGTGTGTACTCTCTCCCTCTCAAAAATAAATAAATCTTAAAGAAAAAGAAAAGGTGGGTTGGAGAAAAAAGGGGGAACGAATGATAAATCAAAGCTCTGTCTCTATACCGAACACCCAACGGCAGTGCGACTCAGCCCAACACAAGTAGGAAAACTTGGGAAGGCCAAGGCTGTAGGGAGCCATCACGGTCCTGAACAACCTTGCTAGCCTTAATGGTAGAGATTTGCCACATTTAAACGGCTCACATTTTTGGAGTCATGCTCCACGTGCTGTCTGGGTCCCTTTCACACTCCCTTGCACCTCACTTCAAACCGTCAGGTGTTTGCTACGTTCTGAACACCAGAGGGCACAAAGCCAAAACAGTGATTAACATCTGAGACCCATCCGCAGAAAGTGGGGCAGAAGTACTTGGCTGAGAAGTTAAAAAAAAAACAAAAAAAAACCCTATGCTGCCATTTTCTTTACGTGGCACGTTCACTTGCGGTGGACCCCAAAGGGAGGGTTGACGCTGCTCACTCGAGGGAATCCACACCGCCCGCCAACATGTGCAGGTGGTTCAGCGTCGTGATGGAGGTGGTCAGGTGGCGTTTGGCATGATCTAGCTGCTTAATATCACGGGTGATTTCTTTAACCTAAATATTGAAAAACCACAGGAGGAAAAGGAAGAAGGTTAAGAAAGATGTAAATTCATTTGCAAGAAGCCCCACAAGAAAATAAGGCAAAGGAAGCAAGGAAAAAAAAACCTCAGGTCAAGCCTTGGAGAAAACACAGACGTTCTTATAATGTATCATCAAAATAACCTCCAATCAGCCCATCTGAATTTCAGTTGGCATTTCTTCAGAAGACTTTACCCAGGGGTACAAAATTCTCAACAGCGAGAACAAAATGAACTTTCTTTTTCACCCCAAGTGGAGTGATCCAAATAGCAATTTAGTATGGAGCATGTGGTCCAGGAGCCAAGTTCAGTACATCTCCTCCTCTTGAACAAAGTTTTTTTTTTTTTTTTTTAGAAAAGTATGCCTTCTGATGAGGGGCTATCAGGATTAATACAAAATGGACAGTATTAGTGGACTCTACTATTGAGATGGTCTTTATTCATGGAAGTAGACTTTACAGCCCGATCCCCAGCAAAGAAAGACTTGCTCTCAAATTTCAAGAAGATTAAAATATAACCTCCATAACGTATGCTTAATATGTACCATCACAGAGGAGACGTAAAGTCTTTGGGAATCAAGAACATAATTAGGGGAGCAAAATGTGGACAATGTTGACCCAGCAGATCCAAGAGAAAGAAACTGTGTACCTGAGAATACAAGTGTGTTTTAGTCACCAGAAAGGCACACTCAGCAGTGAGCTGGGAACAATTCTCCAACTTTGCTAACATCTAGGTAGAATGTTCCACTAAGCTGCCTGGGTTCATGCTGACCAAGAAGCTTTCTGACGAACAATTTGGTTTCCCAAGTTCTTTGGTACCTGGAAGGAAGGGAGTGTCCTGGACACCAGACATAAGCCTTCCAGTCACTGGAAAGATCTATCTCCCATTAAAAGTGAAAAACTCTGGGGACGCATGGGTGGCTCAGTCAGTAGAGTATGCAACTCTTGATCTTGGGGTTTTGAGTTCAAGCCTTATGCTGGGTGTAGAGATTACTTTAAAAAAAAAATAAAATCTTCCAAAAAAATGTATATAGAACTACTGAACTGTATAGTTATAATGGTTAGGATGAGGCGTGCCTGGGTGGCTCCCTCGGTTGAGCGTCTGACTCTTGATCTCAGCTCAGTTCAAGATCTCGTGGTTTCTGAGATTGAGCCCCGAGTTGGGCTCTGCCTGGAGCCTGCTTGGAATTCTCTCTCTGTCCCTCTCTCTGCCCCTCCCCAGCTCACGTGCATGCACTCTTGCTCTCTTTCTCAAAATAAATAAACTTTACAAAAAGTTAAAAACTTGGCAGTGAGTTATGTTCACTTGATCTGGTTTTTCAGAGTTTGATCCCCCTGGGGAACTCATAAAGTGAGGATTATAACCCTTCCGGCTTAGCTGCATACCCGCAAACCTGCCGAGCTGACCTGGATCTTCGCAGGAAAAGTCCTTTCACGGGGACTTCCTCAGCACAGCTGCTCTCTCTGTCTCTCTCAGGCTACCAGTATCTCTATCTCTAGTGTCCAGGGGGAAACAACAGGTTAAGAACCTGTTACCACCTGTGCAGGAATAACTGAGTTGGGGAAGGAGGGTCAGGAGGGGCACAGTGCACTAGATACAGGAATTTGGCCCCAGAATCTGACAACCCGCATCCAACACTGAAATCATTACCCTCTTTCCTATAGAAAAATCCTGGCACCGCTTTTGAGGTTCCTTAACTCTGCAGCTACCATCAGGGGTCTTTAACTACTGTATCAGAAGTCACAGTCGTCTATGACACTTGTCATTCCTGCATCAGTCAGTCTTTAAATCCTGAGAACTGGTTCAGTGTCTCATCATAAACACTGTCTTTTCTACTCCTCCTTCAGCGGCCCCTTGCTCTGCACGAGAGGTGACTGGTCTCTCTATTCCATGTACCTCCTGTCTCTCTCCATCACATATGGGGGAGACACCACCCTTAAAGGCAGCTCGAGCAAGGGATGCTCAGGTCACAGTCACAGGGAGCGCTACACAAAGAGAACACCTGTGGTGAATGTACCTTAACTGTTACCCAGGGGCAGCCCAAACAGGACGGACCATGATGTGGCAGGCTTTGGAGTGAGGCAGCTCCAGGGTTCAATCTCCGCTCGTCTAGTGTCCTAGAGAAGCTAGTTAGCCTTGCTGAGTCTCAGTTTCATCGATAAGATGGGTAATCATACAAATAATAATGGTAATAAAACCTAGTTCATAAAGCTGCTGTGAGGGCTGAATTCGATCACTGGCACAAAGGGACATCTATGGCATGGTGCTCGGAACACTGATGGAGCTCAGCAAATACCCGTTCTCTCTTCAGTCCTACCTCTTCTTCCCTTTAGCAAAGCGCAATCCAGGAAAGCAAACTGTTTTAAAATAAAACATCTACTAACTGTCAAGCTTCAATGGCCCACAAATGGTGCTGGGGGTAGCATATCCTGAGGAAAAGAGCCACAAATCCAAATCCCTCCCTGATGACATACAGCCCCCCCAAAGACTACTTAATTCTCTGACAAAGCACAAATATTATTTTCTTCCCCCTCTGAAAAGAGATCTCCTCCTTCATCGCCTAGTTCAGTAGTTAAGGTCAGTAACACAGGCTGCCTGGGAGGAGGAAGAGGAAGACCTAACGATAAGGACAGCAACAACTGGTGCTCACTCTGGGCCTGTGTGTGACACCTCATCTCAGTTAGTCCCCACAGTTCTATGATGCACCCAAGGCTGCTATCTCCATTTTACAGTGAGGAAACTGAGGTACAGAGGGGCTAAATAACACGGTTAGTAAGTAGAGGGGCTGGGTCTGAACCCAGGCAGTCCAGCTTCAGAGGTCTTCACTGCTCCATCAAACTGCCCACCCCCTCCTGCTCCATGTCCTTCCCTATCTTGCCAAATGGCCACCGAAGAGAGCTGGAGGAGGCACAGAGAACGGCATCAGGTCTGCTCCTGGAGTGAATTGCAATAGGACATAGGGAGGGAAGACTGTAAGGATTTGGGGGTTTTTATAACCCAAAGAAGTAGGGGGGCAGTGACATTGGGGATGGCTTCTATCGCAAGCCTCGTACTACACTCAGTGCTTTTTATACATTTAATTCTTCAACAAGCCTTTGAGGCAGGTGTTCCTGTTCTTACCTTACAGCTGAGGAGACCGGAGTTCAGAGACAACTGAGTGACATTACACTATGTGGCCAGAAGGCGAGTGCGGGAGCTGACACGCTACAGTGCCTCCTGTGGAGGAGGAGCGGCTGAGGCTCGGGCCTCCTGAGCACATCAGTGGAGGACACGATTTGTCAAGGGAGAGCTTTAGCAGACCTGTCAGCACGAACGGCTGCCGGGTCCGGCCCGCCTCCCAACGCCAGCCCCAGTTTCCATGCCATATCGTGTATCTTAACCGAGAAATACGTGATATAAACAAATGCTCGAGAAAGGAATCCAAAATGACTAGAACACTATTTCAGCGAGAGAGGAAGAAAACCCTTCCTATTTAAAAAATGGCTGTGAATGCAAGGCAGCGGGAACGGTGAGTCCCTGCACATCTAGCAGCTCCTCCTGAACTGATCTGGAACACGCACCGGGCCTGCTTTTGAGCCGTGCTGCTTTTGAGGGTGCTGCAGCTGGCAGCAGGTGGGAGAAAAAGCCCATTCATGAGCGTGACTGGACAAGAACCTAACTTCCTCTTTACTGCAAGAAAGTCAGGAAGAAACCTCAACTCACCATCTGCTCTGATTTTTCTGCTTTGTCTTTGATGTCTTTGATTTTGCCGAAGAGCTGCTGGATGGCCTTCTGGGCCTCTTCAAGTGCCTGGAATAAGAGAAATAAATGACACACAAGAGGCAACACAGATGGCACCCACAGTACTACGATCGAGTCTAGCTTCAGAAGAAACCTACCAGAACGCGCTCTTGACTCACAGTTCTTATGCAGACAGTTTTACTGGACCCAAGTAAGAGACGGACCCTCGCATTTGGATACAGGCAGATACACAGCATTCTTGCCAACATGAATCATAAAGTTTTAAGTTAAAAACTATGTCCCTCCGTCTCAGTGATGACTCCATGTTACTGATGACAACACAGGAAGCAGGCAACACATCTGTGTGTGCCGCCATGTGTGTGTGCGTGCACGTGTGCAGAGTCACCTTCGCAGCCTGTAGAGGCAGAGGTGGCTCTAAGCCGGGAGGAGCTCTGGACTTCGGCAGTTCCACGAGACTGCACCTTCAACAAAATCAGCTGCACTTGGGGACTTTGGAACTGTGGTAAACCTTTAAATTGTTTATTTATTTATTTTGAGAGAGAGAGAGACAGAGAGAGAGATAGAGAGAGAGAGTCCAAGTGAGGTAGGGGCAGAGAGAGGAGGAGAGAGAATTCCAAGCAGGTTCTGCAATTTGACACAGCGGAGAGCCTGATGCGGGGCTCGAACCCACAAACTGTGAGATGGTGACCTGAGCTGAAGTCGAGAACTGATTCTTAACCATCTGAGCCACCCTGGCGCCCCATGAGCCAAACCTTTCTACTAAAGAACCTACAGGATGGATGCCACATGTTCCAAGTACGATAAGCCAGAGCCACTCCTGGGAGGGGGGGAAGCAACATTCGGGAGCTGTCAGGGCGCTAAAAGCAAACATGGAGAACACATGTACTTAGAAAAGAGGCAGCAGCCAGGAGAAGAGCTCGCACTCCGTTACATCAAACACTTTATTTATTTTGGATTTAAGAGGGGCCTGTCCCAACCGGGCCTCACAAGCCCTTTATGAATGTGATGAAAAGACCAATGTCACCCTAGAGCTGTGTTTCCTCTTGGCCTGCACAGGGAAAGAGCAGGCTTCCCGAAAGGGCCCTCCAGAGGCAGGAAGAAAGCAGAGCCAAGAGGAAGGGAGAACGACAAAAGCCCTGACAGAACCATCTGGACCTCTGCTCTCGGCTGTACCCAATGAGAAAGCTACCTCGAGACCACGAATAAATACGTTTTCTTTTGTACTTAGAAAACATCCCCCAAAAGAAACGAGCTGGTTTCCTCTGCTGGAAATTCCTTCCTCGGTGGAGGCAGGGATCGTATCTTCCTATCCTCTGTGGGTGGGTTTCCCAGGCTGTCCCCTTCTTCGGCATCGGGAATCCTTTCTTCTTCTGGAGCTCCCCGCCCGTGTGTGGCACAGTCCCGAGCAGGAGTCTCACACGTGGGGACAAGCACGCGGAGCCGTTGCACGTACTGCGTTACAGCTCCTAAAATGCCCGTCAAGAGGGTCCTCCGGGAAGCTGCGGCTTTGGCCCACGGTCGCCAAGTCTGAGGGGACAGTGTTCAGGCAGCCACATGTGCCTCCTGGGGCGGGCCAGGTCAGACTGTGTTTGCTCTGCGGGATCTCTTCACTTGTATCCATGGAGGTTTGTAGGCGAAGAAGCTCAGGCGGAGTTTCTGCCACCTGGACACAGGCTTTGAATTGTCAGAAAGTCTGGGCTTAGAACAACAGTTGGCAGTGCTTTCAGGGCCCCAAATTCCTAACGTGGGAAATGTCACCTAAAATGCAGGCCACAGTCAAGAGTGGGGAACGGACGTGGGTCACGCCGAGCAGCTCCTCTCAGTCCCTTGCTGCCCCAAAGGATGTCTCACTCAGCAGTGTCTCTGCTCAGTCTCCTGCCAGCCTAGGATCCTGCACCCCGAGACAGCTGCGCGGCGTGAGAATGCCCTAACCCGGTGTGTGGTTTGAGGCCCGCCTCCACTGTCACACTGTGTGCAACCTCTGTGGGCATCTGTTTCCTTGTCTGCAGAGCGGTGATGACGACACCTACCTCCATGGTTGTTGGGAAGATTCAATGACATAACAGGTGTAAGACACTGCACGAATATTAGGGTTGTTTCCAGGGCTTAGGACCACCTAAGCCAATGCACGTGTGCGAATACGCACAGATATAGAGACATATGCACATATGTTCCCCTCTAACCACACCCGCCCCTCTCAGCACAGCCACTAGGCCTGCCCACTGTCTGACGCTTCCTAGCCTAAGCCGCTTCCTGAGTGAATCCATGTCCGCTTATTCCACCTCTCCAACCCCCAAGAATTTTCTTCCTCATTTCAAATATTCATCTCCTCAAAACCAGGATACAAGCAAGATTCTTTTGAGCACTACTTACTACCATTTCGCCCAACTTCAGATTTCATAAGATGAGGACAAACTAAAACCAAGCTCCAACAAAATGAAAATGATAAAAAGGAATAAAAAATCAAATGTCCATTTACAACCAAAGGAGTGAAATTTCAAACTAAAATATTCAATTCAGTGACTACAATGTGCAAATCTCTGTTGTCTCCCATGGACTAGTCCAAATGTCACTTCTTCCCCGTCCTTTCCCCTCACTTCCCCTTCCCTCTCAACACTCTCTCCACATGTAAACACACGTGCGGCACACAGTACCATCAATTCATCCATCAACTGGGTGCCTATGATCCTTTATGTATACTTAACCTTCATAACAATTTTTTTGTGGGTTTGTCTTTTGGTTGGGTCAAGACATCCTAGAAGGCCTGGACCAAATCTCATTCATTGTGACTTACTGACACCCAGGGCAGTGCCCAGGATAATACAGTAGGTGCTCAATACATGTTTATTGAGTTGAATTTTAAAATCAATCATGGTATATGCACACACACGTGTACACACACACACACACACTCCATCTTTGCTCTCAGCATAGTCAAGCAACCCATTAGCCACAGTAGTTATGGTTGTGCCAACACTTCAACTGCAGACCTTCTTTTTATTATATATATATATAGTTTATTTATTTTTGAGACAGAGCATGAGTGGAGGAGGGGTAGAGAGAGAGGGAGACACAGAATCTGAAACAGGCTCCAGGCTCTGAGCTGTTAGCATAGAACCTGACATGGGGCTCAAACCCATGAACCATGAGATCATGACCTGAGCCAAAGTCGGACGCTTAACTGATTGAGCCACCCAGGTGCTCCGCAGACCTTTTTTTTAAGAATTATAAACTGTAAACTTTAAATAAACTATATTTTAGATTATTTCAGTTTTTGGAAACACTAGATTACAATTTTTCCTACTGAAATAATTGCTAAATGGTTTTGTCTTTTGGCCATGTTACAGGAACCAGAACTGAGTTTAATATCTACTTTCTTCAATCAGCAAACAGTATACTGGAGATGCAGGGATAAAAAGTGTAATTCCTGCTCTCGAGGAGTTTATAATCTAGTAAGGCAAACAGACTAATAGCCAGTTAGAACACTGAGATATGATAAAGAGATGTACACAGGATGTTGTGGGAGCCCAGAGTCCATCGACAATAGTGGCTGTTTACTTGGTAGGAAGAAAGAGAGCGAAGGAACAGAGGCCCACAAATTCATCTTAAAGAAGATCACAACTTTACAAGCTACTATTTAGGCCAGAGTGTCTTAACGCAACATCACTTAAGAGTAGTGCGTACTTAAAAAATGGTATTTTTCAAACCCATGCTCCATCATGAACAAATTCTCATTTTCCAGCAACGCAGACCTTCACTGCCTTGTAACTGAGGACTAGCCGTATCTGAACTGTGACACTGAATTCCTGCGGCAGGTGTGGTCCCAACTACATCTGTCAGCACTTCATTAACTCACTCCTTCTACCATTCCACAAATATCTGTGCAATATCTTCCACATACCAGGTGGTCCTCTAAGCACTGGGAACCTACTGGTAGATGAGACACCCATGGTCCCTCTTCCTGTCCTCAAGGAACTTACTTTGAGAAGTGACAGGTCGGGGGAGATACTGGAAAAATGAAAGAAAAGAAAAGAAAGAATGAAAGAACGAAAGAAAGGGAGGGGGAAGGGAGGGAGGGAGGGAGGGAAGGAAGGAAGGAAGGAAGGAAAGAAAACTTCAGAGAGGGCAGATGTGATGCAGGAATTAAGCAGCAGGGTGGTCACAGGAGGTTTTCTGAGAAACAGCATACGAACTGGGACCTGCAGGATGCGAAAGAGTCAACCTTTTTAGATCTGGAGTAAGAGATGCCAAGTAGAGAGAACAGTAAATAAAAGATCCTGATGCAGAAAAAGACCTTGGTGTTTTGAAGGACCACAAAGTAAGGCAGTGGATGGCAGGGTAGTATCAGAGTGGGAAGTGCTGATAATTTGGAAAAGCAGGCAGGCGCTAGAGCCCCAAAGGCCTGGTAAAACCATGGGATTTTGTTCAAAGGGCAACGAGGAGCCACTGAAGGGTTTGTTTTTGTTTTTTTTTTTTAAATATTTTTATTTATTTCTAGGAGAGAGAGAGAGAGAGACAGCATGAGCAGGGGAGGGTCAGAGAGAGAGGGAGTCACAGACTCTGAAACAGGCTCCAGCCTCTGAGCTGGCAGTCAGCACAGAGCCCGACGTGGGGCTCGAGCCCACGAACCACGAGATCATGACCTAAGCGGAAGTCGGATGCTTAACCGGCTAAGCCACCCAGGCGCCCCCACTGAAGGGTTTTAAACAAGGGACAGACAAATGGCTCACATATGTAAAAGACCGCCCTGGCTGCTATATGGGGGGTGGGGGGGATGGTAGCGGCCGTCCAGAGGCAGGAACTGAAGGAAAAGACTGCTGGGAAGGGCTGCTGGGCTCTAGGTGAGAAACGGCTCAGGTCTAGAGCAGGTGGGCAGCGGTGACGGGAAGAGGTGGAGGGACTGGGATTTATAGAAGATATGACCTGCGGGCCTCGCTGATGGACTGGATGTGAATAATGAGAGAAAGGAAAGAATCAAGGATTAGTCGTTGGTCTTGGTTTAGTGAATCTGTCCCTTAATTAAGGAGGGAAGACAGGAAAAGGAAGAG